GCTGTGACGTTAGCGGGAGCAGCTAGCAAGCGTTTAAGCATACCAGCAAGCTAACTTTAGCCAACGATGAATGAGAACGTCGACATACGCCGGGCGTCACGTTATATACTGAGATGTTTGTCTGTTATTAGGCCGTCTAGTCTCCAGAGGTGGAAGAAGTATTTAGATCCTTTTCTTCAGTAAAAGTACAAATACAACACTGTGGAAATACTGATTGTGAAGTAAAATGTTCCCTGTCAGTGTTGTAGTATTATGTATGATGTTTCTGGATTAATATTACTGCTGCATTAATGTGTATGTTGCATTTTAACGCTAATTTAATCTCCATCAATGCATCATATTCTATAAGATCATCGTGTTTGTAGCATTGTTGCCCTGTGAGAACCACATATCTCTTAAAAGAAAAAACAGTCATTGTGATTATGCATTTATCCAGCTGATCCAAGAGGCTTTTAAAATATCATATTTATCTAAAGAAGTCAGGAGATTCTCTCCACCCATAAAGAAACACTTCATCCTTTAGTTTATCCTAAACATTCAACATCTAAAATAAAAATTAAAAAAATAAATTAACACATCTGGAGACACAGGAAGGATCTGAAAAGATACTAAAGCTGTCAAATAAATGTAGTTGAGTAAAAGTACAGTATGACAGTAATGAAGTAGAAGTAATAAGTAGCAGAACATGGAAATACTCAAGTAAAGTACTTAGAATTTGTACTTGTGTAAATGTACATTTCAACACTGGTTAGGTATCCATCCATCCATCCATCCATCCATCAACCTACCTACCCATCCATCTACCAACTAACCTCCCTACCTACCCATCCATCCATCAACCTACCTACCTACCTACCCATCCATCCACCTACCTACCTACCTACCTACCATCTACCAACCCATCCATCCATCAACCTACCTACCCATCCATCCATCCATCAACCTACCTACCTACCTACCCATCCATCTACCTACCTACCTACCCATCCATCTACCTACCTACCTACCTACCATCTACCAACCCATCCATCCATCAACCTACCTACCCATCTATCTACCAACTAACCTCCCTACCTACCCATCGATCCATCAACCTATCCATCCATCAACCTACCTACTCATCCATCCATCAACCTACCCATCCATCTATCTATCTATCCTTCGCTTAAGGCCATTTGCATACATCAACTTCGAAAGCACTAGCTTATAAATGGCCTGCTAGCTATACTAGCGAGCTAACGACAGCCACTTAACCACTTAATTACCCTTAACATCCCTTTAACTAACGTCAACTGGTCTTAATTAAAAGGCTAATACGTGAAGCCTGTTTATCGTTGACATTTCTCTGGACTAGCTAGCTGATGCTAGCTACGTTAGCACGTTAACCAAAACAAACCCTGCCCGTTAATCCAAAAACAAGTAGCATGTTAGCTTACCAGACATGACGCAATCATATATGCCACTTAATTTATAATAAATACACGTTAATCCAATCAACTGACCAGATACACCTTTTTTCCCCCCGAGCTAGCTTCGATGCTAGCTCAAGTAACGTTAGCGACAGTTGCTTGATTGCCACTCGCGGCATAAGCTAGCATCGTTAGCTTCCTTTTAGCTACACAGGTTTTACGTAGATGCACGCTAGCTGACTGTTAGAAAGGCATGTGTCCAACATCATCACCTGCAACTGTGAAATAGTTCCAGAAAAAGGTCACACGATAGTTACAAAAAACAAAAACATATTCAGAGAGCAGTCATGCTTGCTAGCAGACACAATGCTAGCCAGCAAGCTAAGCGCTAAACGGGGTAAACAAACTGCAAAACAATCAAAATAGACGCTTCCTTACTGTAACTGTAGGCGAACTGACTGACTCCTCGTCAGCAGAAAGCACCAAGTGAGCTCCTCGAGTTTAGAATGTAGACATTTAAATAGTTAGTTGTGTTGAAGGAAGCGCCGAGCAGAGGACAACCTTTCAGCCGCATCATAAGCGCCTGAAAGACCACAGAGGCCATATAAGGATACTGCGCATGCGCTCGTACTAAGCGGTCTGGCCCGTGTTAAGAGGAACAGCGACCTCTGGTGGAGTGATGGAGGCACAACTGGACGAGAGAGAGAACGGTGCTTTAAATAAAATATTTAAATTGATAAATTTAGGCACATTTTTGGGGTCATTATATACATATATATATATGTATGTATATCTATACATATATAAAAAATATAAAATATATACTGTATATCTACACAAAAATAATTCCTCTGCACCATACTATATTAATCATGCACACCTGGATGTATCTACTTCTTACTCAGTTCTCTCTGTCAGATATTGTACATACTTATCTTTTTGAAACCCAGCAAGATCCTCACTGTTAACCTGTTTATATTTATGATCCATACTGCCAACCTGTTTTTTTTTGGCATTGCGTATATTGTAAATACTTTGGATTTGCACTTTTTATATTTACACTCTTTTCTGATGTCTCTGGAAACTAAAATTAATATTTCTGAACAATCCTGGCCCAGTGTCTGCACATTTGTATTTTTCATTGATTAAGTTTGTAAGAAAAAAATGTTTAAACACAAAGAATTTGAGTTGTTTCTTTATTGAAAATATTAACTTGTGATATTAATGTAATTTTAAAGTATGGATTTGGGATTTTTCGTGATAAAAATGGCTGCCAAAGTATTTTCCTATATTAAACATATAAAAAAGTCCCATTCAGTTGTGTGTTATTTAGTGACTTGATGCATAATATTATTAAAGTACGTTTTTTAAAGATTTTATGATGCACTAAAAGTTTTTCTCTTTCTTCCATGCAGTCAACATTTTTTAAATAAATAAGATTAATTGTTCTTCTTCCTACCGATTCCAGACTTTAGTCCCTTTTTATATTGAGGGAGCTGCAGGGACGTTTATTGCAACTCAAAGCTAATTTGTCCGCTTGCAGCAGGTGTTTCCTATATGACTGATCAGCGGAGACGCTTCGGCTTTTGTGAGCAGAATGTGGAGCTGAGAGAGAAAGCGTCTCTACTTCTGTTTGTTTATCGACGCAAATACGTTGACTGTAAAACTCGCCTTTAATTTTACGAACCGGGGCATGTTGATTCGGTTGTTTTCATCCCGCTGCAGTATTTTTTTATTCCCGACAGGTTGAGCAAGCACGTGAGAAAAAAAATGGACGGTAAAGAACACTTAATTAAAATGCAAACTTGTAATTTGTATCGTCCTTAAATGAGTAGAGAGTTGTGTATTTGCTTTAAAAGTAATATTGAATAACTGCTGCTTTCTGTAGATGGAAGCAAACAACCACAGACATTTGGGAACGGACAACAAAGACCTCAACACTCCAGACCTTTCTTTTATGTCCAGCCACAGTCTCAACCATACTACCTCTACCAGCAATGGCAGATGAACAACCCCTACAGTCAATACGGTGCGCCTGGAGGTATCGAGCTGCTTTAAACGTTCCTTCTGTGGTGGTGGTGGTGGTGGTGGTAATGACCCAGCAGTGGTGGGAGAGGTATGGAAGCCCAATCATGACACTGTGGTGAAAGAAAACTTTAAAAAACACTGTCCTCATGATGAGAAACCATCTCAAAATGAGTTGGCATCTTCAAATAATAAGTAAGCATCTCAAAAATGTGTTGCTGTCTCAAAATATTGAGTTAGCGTCTCGTAATATTGAGTGAATGTACTACTACCACCAGTATTGATTCCCTGGAATCTCACTATGTGCATTTGTGTGTTGTATATTTCCCAGGTCTCAACTTTGGCCGTCCCTGCATGCAGCCGTACCAGTACATGCAGTATCCTGGGTATGTTATCCCACATGCCCCGATATATCCGATGGATTACAGGCGGATGTTTGAGCCCCGCTTCCACGCTCCTAACTGGAATGAAATGCCTCGCCAGCAGCAGTATCATCAGCAGTATCAGCATCATCATCAGCAGCAGCAGCAGCAGTACCATCATCATCATCAGCAGCAGCAGCAGCAGCAGCAGTATCAATACCAACCACAGCCACACGGGCGTCGGGAGACGGCCTGCTCGGAGGCTCAAACCGACCCCAGCGACGCCATAACCAAACTCCTCGAATGCCTGGATAAAATCCGAGCCACCGAGCTGCAAGGCGCCGAGAGAGAACTTGACTCGGGCGTCGCCTCGCAGTCCTCCGGGATGTTTTCTCCGGTTGAAGAGAAGAAAAGCGAAGAGCGGGGTCACGTCCTGCCTCCGGCGCCCAACGACGGCGGCCACCCGCAGTCCCCAGCTGTGACTTTCAGCGACTCCAGGACAGCGGGTTACGACCGCGAATCCAGCCGAAGGAGCTTTGATGGCCTGAGCCCTCAAGGTTGCTGGTCGACGGTTCTGGAAGAGGAGGAGTTGCCTCTCGATAGCTCTTCTGTTCACGAAGAGTGTCTCGAGCTGGAGCGGCTCCCCGAGGACGAACACTTCCCTCTCGAGGAAGCAGAGGTCGCGGATATCCAGTCAGATATCCCGGCGGACAATGTGAGTGTTCCCAAATGTGACGCTGAGGAGCTCCTGAAGCAGAGGGTGGATCCAATCTTGCCTTCTTCTTCTTCCTCTTCTTCTTCTTCCTCCTCTTCTTCTTCTTTCTCTTCTTTTACCTCCAATCAGCCGGCGCTTAAAGATACTAAAAGTGGCGACAAAGCTTCAAAGACTGCTCCGAGTTATCAGATCCTCAAGCTGCCTTTTGAGAGCGTTTTGGCACCAGTAAACGCCGGAGCCGGTCGCCTCTCCTCCCCAACTGCTCCCTACTACTACAACTACCTATCCATGCAGACCACTCACGAGCGGATGAGTGTTCTCAGTCCGTCCCTGGACGAGCTGTCCTCCAGAGATGAGATGTTCTCCACCGATCTGGACGACGCAGATCTTTTCCCCAAGCACGTGTATGCGGGCCGGAGGCTCTCAGAGGTCGTGAGCGGGACTCCACAAGCCGTGGAAGAAGTGTGGCTGCCCGGCTCAAAGAGGTTCATGTGCGCCTGCTGCGGGAAAAGCCTCGCAAAAGGCACCGGAAGGAGCAAAGCCCACGGCTCAAAGATGTACCGGGACGATGCCGGTGACTCTGAGGAGGAGGGCAGGTACGGAAGAGGGTGTGAGCAGCCGGTCAGAGTGGTTGTGAGGAAGCATTCTGCACCCAGGAAGCCCCACGCCGTCCCGCTGAGACATGCGGCGAAACCGTGGTACAAAAGAGGCCAATACAAAGATCAATCCGATCCGGCGACCCAGGAGGAAAGTCGTGAGGTTTGTAAGCAGGAAGCAGCTGATGGTGAGGCTGGAGAGACGACTGGTAGCGAGCTGCAGTGCGGAACATGTACGGGTAAGTCTCTCTCGTGGACTTTTGACGGGCATTTGTAGACTGCACATGTATGAAGATGTGTGTTGCGGGAACTCTTTCATAGACAGACTCTGCAGAGAAGATACGACCACGTCGGAACAAGGCAGGTGGGGAGACGGTGACGTGATTCCTAGGAGGAGACAAGCAAACCTTCCGCAACGACAAGGTGGAATTCCTGCACCGACATCGTTTCCATCGTCATCATTGTGCAGCTCTAAATGTACCCCAAAAAACAAATCTGCCCATGCAGCTTAATTAGAATCTTGCGGCCAAGTTGGAGCAGCTTTGGGTCCCAAATTTTATTCATTTACCCTTTTTTATGTTTGTGAAAATAATGTATTTGTGAACAAGGCTGTGTCTCAAATATTTGGGATCAAGCCTCAGACCTGTTCATCTACCATTGCCTACAAATCCAAATTACAGGTGAGCCGGCAACTCGCAGCTAACGATGCTAACATCGCTAACAGTGCCAACAACTGTAACAGTGCTGATGGCGCTAACGGTGTCCGGCTCACCCTGACCGGGTTCATTTCACAATAATGACTCGCTCGCTGTACATTATCTTGCGTATTACGAGGCTACTTGCTGAAGAGATCAAATATGACACAAAATATTCATAACATTTTTTTATTTTCTTTATTGCCTCTGCTAAGAATAACATGGCCCTCTAATCATTACTCCATATACATAACAAATAGTTGTTGTTTTGCTATATTAATACTCTGAACAGAGAACATTCAAGTGTCTGCTTTAAACTTTGAAAGTCTTCCTGGCTTAACTCATATGGATGCATGCGTTGATGATTTGTTGTGTGGTGATGTTTCCATTTTCACTTCTCATTCTTCTGATTATTTCTTCCTCGTCGTGGCCCCCGGTGTTTCATTCCCCTTCGCATCCGCCGTGTAGAGACGAGTACTCAGAGGAAAGTGATGTACCACAGGTCGAGAGACGAGGATGACGATGAGCCGCCACCACTGCACTGGGAGAGAGGTCAATACTACGCTTAATGCAACACTGACCCGCTTATCACGTTTCTTTTGTAAAAATTATTTATTTTTTTGTTTTCTCTTCCGTCAGGCTCTACGATGAGAGAACCAAGATGTTAATACCCCCAAAATGTGTTGAACTGTAGGTGAAATGCACACAACTCTGCAAAAGATCACACATTTTTTATTACATATATTCTTATTCTTAATGAAAATGTCTTTGTCTCTCCTCAGGTCCCCCCCAAAAGGTGTAATTGTTCCAGGATAATGTGTTATAAATATTTAGAGCACCAGGTGAAGTGCACAGCACAAGGAACCCTCTTTTTGTTAAGATAAAGAAGAGATATGTATAAAGTTTTCTGCAGTGACACTGCCTCGCACTATTCATACGATTTATGAATTTCACACACGGGCAAATGGGCTGAAAGGTTGCGTTGCAGATGATGGTGTGCCACCGTTTGGGGCCAGTCCAATAAAATTATTCATTATTTAAAGCTGTGTGTCGAATCATTTTACATCTTGTAACTTTTCACTTTATGCTCAGAGGTTTATAATTATTTGATAACGAGGAAAAACTGGGATTATTTGACTTGTATTTCAATAAGCAGGATTTCTGATTCTCTCACTTTATCTGGAAAACACAGAATAATATCCGGTACGAATTCAAACGGTTGAGTTTTACTCGACTTTTTCAGATTTTACGCTTCGAGCATCAGATATTCTGCTATTTTATTTTGATAAGATATTGCAGCGGTAAGTGACTGTAGATTTGCAGAACCGGATATCACACATGAACTATTTCTCAGATGGTTGAAATCATTTAAATCACCATAATTGCTTTTTTGTTATTCCTGCCATTCAAATAGTTTTCTGTTTAAAGTCTTTGTAAATTTTATATATCCGGTTAATGTGACTAAACGTCACATTTGAAGACTTGGGAAACTTTTTGATTAAACGGTTAATTGAGAAAATTGCGACCAATTCAGCAACAAATGTTAAGAGGGCTGCAACATTTGTTCGACGAAGCCTTGGGCATCAATGGATCAAACAAAACACAACAGAAAAGCTGAATCAAATAGAAAGTTGTGTTCTTGTAAACCGCAAAAGTAGATATTATAAATTTTAATTAACTGCAAAAACCTTTTTGTTTTGACCTGAAAGCGCACAGACCAGAGTCCGTGCACAGAAAACATCTTTTTAAACATCAGTACTGATTTAAAATCACTGGACAACCAACCGGTCTCACAGAGCATGTTTATTCTTCACGCATAGCACCATCTGTAAATCCTGCTCCAGTCTACCAAACAAGCTCATAATTGGCTCTTCAGGTGTCAAACCTGCTTCTCAACACAGGTTGAGTGAACTATGTGCTTTGCATTTTAGAGATCTTTAGCCCCGCTCGCCTGCAAATGAGCCACTACAAAGATGCTACGAGTGCCTGTCACCTGTGTGTGTGTAACACTCGCAGGCTGCAGGTCTGTTTCCTTAGCCAATCAGCTTCTCCTCTACCTCACCTATCCTGGATCTATTGTCTGCTCTTCCTCAGGTGAGCTGATGCACCACAGTGGGCGGGAATCAGAGGGAAACAGACATTTTTCATTGGCTTTTACAAAGAAGGTCGTCAAACTCAAATTTTCACCTGGACAGAAAATCGAGCCAATCAGTGCAGCGTTTGACAACCTCCAGTGCGTCGTTGATTCCTAATTTAAAACACACTTTGAAAGCTCTGCTGGTTAGTCAGTAGTTATCTTCTTTTTGCATTTGTTCAGTGAGTGTTTTGTGATCAGAAGAACACACTGCTATCCTGCAGTAACTTGGCCAACGAAGAAGGAAAAGATTCAAACAATCATTCGAACTTGCTTCTCGTGTCCTTTGTGCGATATGGAGGCAGCCACGTCCACCTACCAGCACTCTTACGGTCTGGGCCCTCGGGGTCCAGACCCACATTACGGTGCTCAGCAGGGCCAGGGACCCCACCCGCCGTCAGCTCCGGGAGCTCCACGTCCTCAGGAGCAGCACCACCACAAGCCTTATTTCTACATGCAGCCCTCGCAGCCGTACATGAGCATGCAGTGGCCTGTGCCGGTGCCCATGCCTGTGTCCTACAACCCATACTACCCTGGTTTAGGTGAGTGTGCAAAGCTACCTGAAAATACTAAACTTATGCTGCGTGTTCTGTATTAAAAACGTCTCTATCGGGCCCTTTGTGTTGCATGGGCAGAGCAATTAATACAGTGAAGTGCTTTCAAATAAAGTCCTCCTGGAGAACTTTTATCATGGATCCTACATTTTTAGTACAGGTTTCCTCTGCATTACTTTTCTTTGTTTACGTTAGTGCATATCTCTGTACACATTACATGTGTTTTTAATCTGCATGGAGAGCTTCTGGTGAGGTGAATCATGTAACTTATAGATTCCTGCAGCCAGTGCTAATGTGGATACCAGGGTTTATATCACAATGTTTGTTGAAGATTTCAGAAATGGGCGAGGTTGTGGAAGTTGAACTTTATTGGATGGTTAGTTAATACATTGACATTTTAGTTTTGTATTTGTAATTTGTCTCTGCTTGCTAGCTGAGGCTAAAAAAAAGTAGAGTTGTCTTTGGAAATTCTTAGTTGACTGACACCCACTTGAATGTCAAGCATATACATGACTTCATGTGTTGCAACCAGGAGCTCACAAGTTTCATTTGAAGCCAGCAAAAGTACTGAGCTGCTAGACTACTCTGTAAAAGCACTTAACACTCTCTTAAAACTGCCTTTTCCTCTGCTATTAAAGGCTACGGCCTGCCCATGATGCCCCACTATCAGCCTAATCCCTACATGGAGCCACCTGGGTTTGTCGTACCCACCACCCACCTCCATTTGATGGACTACCGCCGCATGCTCAACCCTCAGTATTACCAGACCATGGCCTACCACTCCCGCAGGTTCCGCTACCAGCAGAACAGCCAGACCAGAGAAATGACGAGCTCCGAGGTTCAAACCGAGCCCCTGTCAGCCGCCCAGAGGACCAGCACCAGCCAGGTCGAGGCCCCTGTTGGCCTCTCAGTCCGCAGCGGCGACGGCAACCCTGTTGTCTCCATCAAGCAGCCGCTCTCACCAGCTCTGCCTGTGCAGAAGTCAGATCATTCTGTGGAGCTAAAGGACATGGCGCCCTCTTCCACCACCAGGATGCCACCAAGCAGCAGCAGCAGCAGCAGCAGCTTTGTGATCCAGACGGAGGAGGTGAGGATTGAATGCTGCACCACGCCGGTGGGACTGCAACTCCTGCATGCTCATGAGACTGCAGAGGTGTCCCACAGCTTTTCCCAAGATGTGGTCCAGTGCAGCAGCTCCTCCGTCCTCCAGGGTCACGTCGTACGGCAGGACGAGGAACGGTGCCTCCCCGCAGAACAGTCGGAGCAGGTGCTCCAAGCTTGTCCTGACACCCTGTTGGTTGGGACGCACAGCGGCGGTGAGAAGCTCCCGCCTTTGGAGGCACCAAGAAACCAGATGGATCTTGCGGTCGTCCTCTCTGACGTCGGTTCCCGAGTACCAGCTCGCAACGACGTTCAAGAGACGAGCGGTGAGAAAGGCCCGTCTGAGGATTTCCCCTTCAAAGTTGTCCACCTGCCGTTCGACCCTAAATACCTGGACGAGCTGTGGAAGATGGAGTCCACTGTCTGGTCAATGAACGAAACTGCGATACCCTCCCCTGAATCGCTGATCCCAAATGGCCGCCCAGAGTCTCACGATGCAACAGAAGAAGTCGCGTCCGTGAATCAGATGTCTCCTCTGGCAGAGGATGAACAGGACATGGTCCCCGCTGTGGAGGAGCATCCTGAGGATGAGATGGCGCCTGAAGCTGATGCATGCCAATTTATGGAGGTTCCTGTTGCAGAGGAAGCTCCTACAACGGAGCTGACGCACACAGCAGAAGATAATTCCCCTCTTAAGGCAGATGGAAATGTCCAGGATCACCAGGACACTTCCTTCGAATCGTTGCCTGCCTACCTCCCTTCAACCAGCTGGCTTGCTGACTTTGATAGTCTCCACTATTGTAGCAAGATGCCGCCAACTCCCAAGAAGCAGAACAGACCTCCGAGCAGCTGTGGATTAGACGTACCAACCAGAAGAAGAAAACTAGACCATATCTATAAAGGCCAACCTACCGTTCGGAAGCCAAAAGAGAGGTACAAACCCAAAGGGAAGGCAGATCGGCGAAGCTTCTCCGACCACGAATGCTGCCTCAACAGAGGCTTCAATGAGAACGAGTTTACTCCTTACGAGTCAAAGAGGGAGCGACTTTGCTCCAGATGTGTGGCGAAGACCACGATCTGTGTGGCCGACAGTCGAGATCTCGACGGTCGCACCTTAAAGAGAAAAGCGTCTCTTTTCGAACAATGGAACGACGCTCTCTTACCGACATGCGAAGCCTGTGCGTCCCACTCCAAGAAACGGCTGGTGAGCAAAGGTTCCAGTCCGGATGTCCGCGGCTCTCTCCATGGACACGACACCGAGGGAGAGTCCTCCGAGAACGGCTCGTGTCGCTTCGGCTCAAAGTGGAGGGCGGTCGATGGTCCCAGGAAGCCGAACAACCTCAAGATGCCGCTGGCCTCCAAGCAAAACGTGGAGAGGTGTCCCGCGACAACTCACCTGAAGCGGAGGGAGAAGAACTGCGTTTGCAACGAGCCGCAGCGTGAGGCCGTCCCGTGGGAGAGGCTGCGCCACTGCCCCCACGGCAATGCCATCCAAGAAATGGACGAGAACCGCGCGTCGCCGGTTTCCCTGCTGGACAAACGCAGGATAATGGATCAGATTTATCTGACACACAGGTGGCAAACGGGTAAGCAAATGTTTCAGGAGGATTAACCTCTAACATTGAGCCCCTGTGTCAACTGTACAACTTCTCATCCGACAGAGAACGCGTGGAAAGCAGTGATGCCTAACCCAGACAGTGACGGCTCCAAGAACGAAGCCAGAACACCACATTTTAATAAGCACAAGAAATCACAACCACAATCACAAGGTTTGCTTTTGGCATTTTAACTTTTAAACTGAAAAAGGGGAAGGTAGAGCCTTCGAATGCAGATCATTTTGAATTTAGTTTGTGCACAAATACAGGCGCTAAATGGCATGAAGAATGTAGAAACGGCTTGGATCTGCAGCTTCTCTGGAGCAACAAGTTTATGCTGAATAGTCTCTAGAAATTAAGCCTTTTCTGAATTTTGAGAGGCGAGTCAGCATAAACTTGATTTTTAAGTCATTTAGCGCATGTATACGTACAATTTATTAAATAGATTTTTCTCACTTTTCTATATTCTAAAGATCCCTTTTTTCAGTTGGGGAAGCCTTCCTCTGTTTACTGAAACATTTTAATCCACAACCTTTTCTCTTTGCATTTATTTTAAATTAAATACTTGACATTTTTGTGTTTTTTCTCTTTGCAGGAAATTCTAGAAAAGACACAAGATGCTGATTTTCACAAGAGCACAATCGACCAAGTGAAAAATGACACTTTTTAAGAAATGTTTATATATATATATATATATGATGTACACTTAATTTAAATGATTTTCACCTAAATGAACTGTATAATCACTGTTTCACTATTTATTAACAATAAAATAAACACAACTTTATGATACTATTTGTCCTCTTTATTTATTTGCACAGAAAGTTTAGGGAGTAAAATGTGGTTTTGTCCACTAGATGGAACTATTTATACACTAAATATAAAATCCAGCAGGTGATGTATTGAACTATGCTTTAACTTTATTGACAAAAGCACACATGTAATGCTTGACATACAGGAAATCCTACCGTCTCAAACAGAATTTAAATGAATATCTGTAAGTCAGTGGTATTGAAAATTTTGGAGGGATGGAAAAGAAACCACCTGCAGTCTGACCACCTATTTCCTCAGGTGGACAAAACGCATCCTGTTCTTAACCATTGTATCAAACCAGTTTCATCTTTGGTTTGCGCACGATTCATTAAACACGGCTACTTTATTCATACGTTTGCAGAAGACCTTTTTCACTGCGTCTCATCTAGAAGGACTTTCAGGTGTATCGACATGTTCAGGTGAGTCAGCAGTGGATCAAAGATGAGACCTGTTAACAGTGTCTGTAGTCTCTGATCTGCAGCTTCTGTGAATGACAACGGTGTCGTTACTGATGACGCACGGGAACATGAATATAGAAAAGATTAAAATGCATCTGGGAAAATATCAATTTAATTTATCAACTTCAATGCATTTTTTTCCTTTTTTCTTAAACTGAGGCAGATCAGTATTTTTTTTTTTTTTTTTTTTTAACCCTAATTTACTAAAATATCTCAACTTCTGGACGGATTGCAATGAAATTTAGTCCCCAGAGGATGAACCATACGGACATGAGGCAGATTTGAGGTTGTGGAGTGAAAATGTTTCCAGAACTATTTGATGGATTGACAAGTGTGTGTGTGTGTGTGTGTGTGTACACACTAAACTGGGCTTGAATAAAAAGATTATATTCTTGTATTTGCTTTCCTGGGTGGATCTGATGAATTTGATCATTTTAATTGAATACATTTGTTGGTATCGGTCTTTATTTTTTGTTTCCTCGTTTGAGTTGTGTTTAGAAGCTGATTTGACTTTCAAACTGACTTCAGATCAGAGAACCAACCGAACCAACCTGCAGCAGCTCAGCTGACCTGAGGTCTGAACACGTCACTACGACCCCTAAGGCTGGCTCCTCCTCCTCTTCCCCCTCTTCCTCCTCCTCCCTCCTCTTCCTCCTGCTCCTCCTCCATGAACACTAATATACATCTTATGCAAAAATCTTCCAAATGAGTGTTTGACTGACAAATGAAGAGAAATTGAGATTGAAGAGAAGCTCAGTCGACTGTTGATGAGTGAGGATCAGAAGAAACCAACATTTTAAAGGTAAACTTTAACATTTTAAAAGGTGAGACTTTAACATTTTAAAGAAGAAACTTTAACATTTTAAAAGGTGAGACTTTAACATTTTAAAGAAGAAACTTTAACATTTTAAAAGGTGAGACTTTAACATTTTAAAGGTGAGACTTTAACATTTTAAAGGTAAACTTTAACATTTTAAAAGGTGAGACTTTAACATTTTAAAGGTGAGACTTTAACATTTTAAAGAAGATACTTTAACATTTTAAAGAAGAAACTTTAACATTTTAAAAGGTGAGACTTTAACATTTTAAAGGTGAGATGTTAACATTTTAAGGTACATTTTAACATTTTAAAGGTGTGAATATTTTTTATTAATTATCTTATTGTTAATAAATGTATTGTATACATGTATACTGAAGCTCTAACTTCAGTTGTCGCTGGTTTCCCTTTAAAGTCAGACTTAATGTCAGAGCCTGCGGATAAACTTCAACGTTCTCTTTCCGAAACATGAGCGCCTGAGAGAACTTGTTTTTACACCAGTCGGTTCTCTCCAGGTTCTGGTCTGTTCTTCCAAAGACCCACCATGTGTCCTGTGCTGCTCCTCCTCCTGCTGCTGCTGGCTGCAGCCAACTCTGGTAAGAAACAGTAACTAAGTACATTTACTCAAGTACTGTACTTGGGTACAATTCTGAAGTACTTTAGGTCTCATCAAATGTGATGGATATAAATGAAACTACTCAAACATCGGAATAAATAATAATAATAATAATAATTTTTTTTTTCTCTGTCACTTTGATTGCTTAGTATATTTTTTGCTGCTGTAGCGAACAAATTTCCCCTTGCGGGATGAATAAATTATATATCTATCTATTTTAGTACTTTCACTGTAACAGAGATTTATACTGTGTCGTATTAGTACTTTTACTAACAGAGTACTCATACAGTGTGCTATTAGTACTATTAATGTAACAGAGTACTCGTACAGTGTGGTATTAGTACTTTTACTGTGACAGAATATTTTTACTGTGTGGTATTTGTCACTTCTGAATACATAGGACACAAACGGCTACAAAAGTCTGGTGTTTTGGGCGTTTGTCACTCTGTTCGAGATCATGTGGAATAAATATGATGTGATTTGGTGGGATTAATACGAATTACAGAGTATTATTTTTTTATTGGTTTGACAATGAACAGTGTATGAGAACACAATGACCCTGTAGGTAACCAGTATTTACACAAATACTTCAGTGTATAATTTATTTCTTCCTTTTCCTATAAAATTGTTGTTCCCTTGTTCCTTGGCTGACTCTGGCTGTAGTGTTTCCTTCCACTATACCTTCATGTAAATACTAGTAGGAAGTAGTAAGTATTTTGTTGGTGCCTGATTCACATCCACTGTAAATCACAGTCTGAAGTATATCATGTTACCCCCTATTGGACTAACTGAAATTTACCTTTTTGAAGAATGCAAAGGAGGTTAACTATTTTGCATGTATTTGCTTTCCCAGAATCTGCAGCCACTCCACCTGAAAACAGCACAGGTCAGAATTTCTTTGTTGCTTTCCCGGAGAACATCGCCTACTATCATCCTGTTCAGCCCCAAAACATGGTTCGAATCATTGCCTTGTATGATGGCACTTCGGTCGAGATCATAACGGATCCCAACTATTACATAATAGACACCCTGAATAAAGACACACTGAATAAAGGACAGTCTAAGGAATACAAACTTGGTGAAAAACTGGAATTGCGGAAGTCAGAAATCTCCGAGATATTTCTCCAAATTACCAGCACCAAACCCATCACGGTCCACGCCATCTACCTCAAAAACAACAGTGTGCAGACTGCTCTGGTTTTACCAACCGACAAACTGGTCAAGAAGTACCTCATACCGCCGGTACCCAGGATCAACGGAACCACTGTCCCTGCGGACATAGTCACAACAGACGTAACTGAAAGAGGTCCATTCAAACTCATTATCGTCAATGGGGAAAATGATAACGAAGTAGCTATTATAGGTAAAAAGAACAGAACGGTTCCCCTTCTGTCCCGCCAGATTTATCAGATCTGGGTAAAAGAAGAAGAGAAATTACGATCTGTGTCAACAAACCACCCGGTGGCGGTCCTCTTCGGTCACACTTGCGCTGTCCGGCACAACTGCACCTGTGGGCTGCTGTACGCCATGCTACCGCCAGTCAAAAAAGACAAGCTGAAGTTCTACATCCCACCTGTTCTGGCCAATGAAACTGAAGCATTTGTACTTGTGTCAGATAAAGAAAACTCCACAATAGAGGCCTTCAACCCGAACTCGCCGCTGGTTGAGACGGCCGGCACAGCTATCTTCTACCAGCTAGGTTTACTCCTCACGCTGATCCCAGAGACGGACTTCGCCGCCTGTTATGTGGTTCACACCATCAACGACACGCAGAGCTCTGCCCTCATCGTGGTCCACAAGGACCGCACTGATGGGGTTCATGTTGGAAGTCTTCGTTTGGAGAATCAAATCTGGGAGAATCTGAAAAACACTGATTATGTCTCGAAAGTTGTTGTTCTGGAGTCCGGCCAGAGCGTCATCTGGCACGCTTCCTCCAAAATGGCTGTCTATTTTATGGGAAGAATGGGAAGGGCTCGGTTTGGGAACCCAGCGTCCATCATCAGTACAACCTCAGGTACGGAGCCGCACCACGAACACGAGCCACACATTTACAGTCCAACATCCACCTTCAAGCTGAGGTTTACTGAGCCAGGAGAAACAGGAAAACAAAGTGGCTTCCCTTTTCTAACCAGCGAGTATCGATTTTGATTCAAATGATGATTGGTTGCAGGCAGATTTCATCAGCAGTAGCTAGCTAACCTTAGCTCCAGTAGTTAAGCTAACGTTAGCTCCATGAGTTGGATGAAATCTCTGGCAGATATTTTATATATTTCCATCTGATTCGTTTTAAACAGAGAATCTTGTAAAAGGGTCTTGAACATGCTTCATTGGCTACATGCATGATATCATCCTACCAGATTGAGAATAACGCTAACAGTATACTCGCCCATGATGATCCATGTGTTTTGCTAATGTAACATTATCTTTGGTAAACTTCCCCAGAGCCAATAAACATCAGGGCAGAGCTGCAAACGTTAGCCTAACACACTGATAGCAGCCACAACACATCTAGTCTTACGTAACCTGTAATCCCACAAATGTATTAGCTAATGATGAGCCTCTTTGACCTTGGAAGTGCCACTTGGTTCTACTCGAGATAGTATGAGCTAGTTATCAGGAAACTTCTAACAATCTAGCTGGTAAACACACTGTGTATTCCAGTGTGAAGGTGAACTAGAGCCCCATGCACACTGCTCCAACATATGGAGGAATCCGAGGTTCGACCGCCTGCCATGTCCATGTTGCTAAGCTATCATTGCTAAGCTAATTGTTGCAATCAGGCCTCCACAAACTGATGCACTAAACACAGTGACATCAGCGGTTTCTTATCAAACAGGCCTTCTCATTCCAGTGTGTTTTGTTTCAACAGATTTCAGGGGATGCGTCTTGTCTCCAGAGGTCTTGAAAATTGGTGAAGTGGCGGACGGCTGGCGAGAATCCCTGAAGTACTGCAGAGACCAGAAGCTGGAGCTGGTCAGCTTCCCTGACGCCCGGCTCCAGAAACAAATCTCCGAAAGAATCCTCCAGACCAAGAACGACGGCCTGCAGGAGGTTTGGATCGGCATGCGTCGCAGCTCCCATTCTGGTGAGTGGTACTGGCTGAACGGGGCTCCTGTCCAAGACACCAACTGGGAGGAGGGGGAACCCGACACAGTGCACGACGGCCAGTGTGCCATCATGAGTCTGGAGCGGAACAAGGACTTTGGCTGGAGTGACAAGGACTGCTGTGAGGCCGCTCGTCCCGTCTGCTATCGCAACCCCATCTTCTTTTTTATTAAAGTGAAGTAGATGAAGACAGGAAGGAGGTGAAAACAGGACGTAGATGTAGACAGGAAGTAGGTGTAGACAGGACGTAGGTGTAGACAGGATGTAGGTGAAGGAAAATAAATCTGAGTTTCTTAACTGTTGGATTAACAAAATATAATTTTCACGCTAGGAGGAAGAGGAAAACTTAGCCATAGATAAAGCTAGCTGTGGCTATCGCAGCAGCTAGCTTATTTCTAACGGTATAGTTTTTGAGTTGTTTTGTAGCTTTAACATACGTTATTAAACGTTTAGATATAAAGTTGGTTTTAATGTTCTGAATATATATGAACTGTATTTTTAAAATCTTTTCACGAGTTGATGTCGCAGATAACTAAGAATGTTTTGATTGTTTAGACAGTCTGTGATCTGATTGGTCAAAGAAGATAAACTAAAGTGAGCTAAGCATTATTTCATAATCTTATATATTATTATAACAATTCTGCTAAACACATATTTCTGTTTTAATAAACTCAATTTAATCTCTGATGTTACTGATTGTTCCATTAAATCTATTATAATGTTTGAAATTGTTTTTTTATTTCATTTAAATATTACATTGTTAATAATCAAATAGGTTTGAAGTGTGACATCTGTTTAATTGAGGCTGCGTCCTGAAAACAGATTATTTTAGGTTTCAGTATTTATCAACTGTTGTTAAAGAAAAAGGTTAAAAGAACAAATATCACAACTTAATCATATCTGATGTCTCTTCACATCATTTCAGTGAAGAACAATAAAGTTAGAGAGATTTTTAATTATTAATCTGCTGTATCATCACATTAATTTACTGAAGTTTGGTTAAAATACTTCATTCTAATACTAAAGAGACAGCAGGTCACCTGAACATTAAAACATTAAAAACAACTATTCCACATCACGGATAAATACAATTAGATGAGTAAATAAATTCACTCTTTTTATAAAATTGTCTTGGAAATGATTCATAAACTAAATATAAATGTAAAATAAAGCATCACAACATAGAAAGTCATACTAAAGAAACTCTATAATAATTTCTAATAACATCATAATTTATTACATATCACATGAGGCCCAACAGATAATATGTGATCTCAATGAATGTTTTCATCATTTAAAAAGAGTTTTCATCAGGAATTTATTGGATTTTAGGTCAAGTGATGAATAATTAACATGTTAATAATAATAATTATATCTTAGTAGTGATGTTTAGAAGTTTGGTTTAGAATATTTTCCCTTCCAGTTCAGTAAAATACACTAAATATGTCGTACAAGTACACTGATATTGATCCTTTTAGTGTATAAAATACTTGTCTATTGACTAGAGAATAAACTCAAACAAACACACTAAACGTCATAACTTGATCAGGTTACTTCCACCTGCATCCGAGTCCCTGCAGAGCTCCTCCCTGCACCATCCAGACCCCCACCCCCACCAGGAGGAGGAGCTTGGCCCCCACAGACAGCGACAGGAGGAGCAGCAGAAGAGGCGAGGCCCCGCCCACGTAGAGCGGTGGTCGGGGGTGCAGGACGTACAGGGCGGCCTGCTCTTTGCCCAGCGGGTTGGAGGCGCTGCAGACGTACCGCCGGTCCGGCTCCACGTCTCTCAGCTGGCTGACAGTGTGGAAGTGAGCCGCCGAGCCCTGAGCCAGCGGAACCACCGGAGAACCCACAAGAGAACCCACCAGAGGGTCATCGGGGCCGAGCCACTGGACGTCCGGCAGCGGGGAACCCTGAACCCGACACAGGGCTCGGTACCCGGACTGATCGCTACCTTCTACTGACAGATCCAAGATCCTAGGAGGAGCTGGGGGAAGAAGGGGGGACAGGAAGTAAGTGAAGAAGACATGACGTAGGTGAAGACAGGAAGTAGATGTAGAAGACAGGAAGTAGGTGAAGACAGGACGTAGGTGAATACAGGAAGTAGGTGAAGAAGAAAGGACGTAGGTGAAGACGACAGGACATAGCTGTAGAAGACAGGAAGTAGATGTAGAAGACAGGAAGTAAGTGAAGACAGGACTTAGGTGACGACAGGACGTATGTGTAGGCAGGAAGTAGGTGAAGACAGGCTAAAGGACAGAGACAGCCTGAGGCGTCACAGTGTGAATGTAGTTTTTTGGACGTACCCTCCACTCTCAGCCGGGTCCCCATCTTGTCCTCAAAGCTGATGTGTTCCCGTCCCTGGATCTCTACCCTGCAGTAGTAGCGCCCGCTGTCCTGCAGGGCGGCGCTGCTGATCCGCAGCGACAGGTCGTGCTCCCTCGGGTTTCCCTCCAGCCGGTAGCGCCGGTCCTGCTGGGGCCCCGGCTCGCAGGTGGGGGCCCCCGGCCCGCTGGAGCAGCGGTACAGGACGGTGGAATCCTGACCGTGGCCCAGACGCCACAACACCTGCAGAGAGGAATGCTGGGAGTGCTGCGGGTGGCTGAAGGTGCAGGGCAGCACCACCGGGTAGCCTTCGATGGCTCGCACCTCCGGCTGCACCTTCGTGTACCAGCCGTCGTCTCCGGAGCTGAGCGCTGCCGATCAAAAACATAACGTTACCTGGTAGTTATTATTATTTAAACATCAGAAAAGATTCCAGACAGAAACTGCTGCACCTTCGAGCATCGATCCACCACACACAGGTTTGAGTTTCAGGTCTTAAAACAGCTGTGCTTCTGTGTTTTTTATGGTGTTGGTGTCTAACAGTCACATCAGACCTGTGGACTCAACCCCCC